TGAAAAAAAGGCTAGATTGCAGAATACACAGCCCACTAAATAGTCCTGCTGTTGTCCAACGCAGGTGTACTTCAGGTATAATCTAGATGAGCATAAGCTAAGCTAGGTAGTCCTGCAGTTGTCCAATGCAGGTGTAATTCAGGTTTCATCTAGATGAGCATAAGCTTAGATTACATTTAGATTAACTTATTTAAGCTTACATTTTGTTGAGAGATCATAAACTTCATAAGTGACTGTGCACATGTACATTTTGACTACCATTTATGCACCATTCACCACGTGTATATAGCCTTATACCTTTCAGTTGCAATGGGAGACACGGACAGTCCAGACATCCCTATTTCGACGGCCTCAGATCTTGCTGGTTTTGAAGTTGGCGTTGAATGGAAAACTGGAAAACTAATGACCTCTTGCCTAAAATTATTAACACTGCTTATTTCAAAAAGTCATGTAAATGAAATAAACAGAAACTTAGAAGGGGATGTACATCCTATTTTTTATCTCAATAATTATTAAAGCAACGCTCACCTTTTCCTGCAGGTTTCTTCCTCTTGGCATCAGACTCAGAGCTTGTAACACTCATCTTATCATCATCTCCGCATTTGGCCAACAGAAACTCAGCAAATTCGTTGTTGCTTTTTGATTTGAAACCCAGTTCCGTTTTTACCTCGTTCCAAATAACGAATGTCGTTTCTTTAATAGAATGGCTTTATTTTTTTCGTCTTTACGAGGTCTGCCACACTTTGGAGGCAAACCTAAAGACGACGCCATTTTCGATATAAGCAAAAATGGCCGCCAGCCGGGTGCACGCCCGCAAAGCACACTGGTTGAGAGGGACCCTTTAAGAACGATAATCTGCAAAATTCTGGTTGCTAAACGCAACAAACCTGACTGAAATGAAAGTTAAATACTCACGTTCTCGCCACGACGCCAAACAGACCAGTTTCACGTCGCCGACGGGAGCACGACGGCAATGTGGTGAGCAAGAGCATGCGCAATGTTGCACAAATCATGACGTCACGTCCGGTTGAAGTTGCTGTCACCCCGAAAACGTGTCCATCTTAAGTTCCCTGTTTTCGAGGCGACGGCAACTTCAACCGGACGTAACGTCATGATTTGTGCAATATTGCGTATGCTCTTGCTCAACACATTGCCGTCGGCGACGTGAAACTGGTCTGTTTGGCGTTGTGGCGAGAACGTGAGTATTAAACTTTCATTTCAATCCGGTTTGTTGCCTTTAACAACCAGAATTTTGCAGATTATCGTTCTTAAATTGTCCTTGTTTTCTTTAAATCACATTTCAAGCTCGATTTCCAAGCTCTGTTATCTAAACTTACATCTTTATAATGCTTCTATGTTTTATGTCACAGAGTCAAGATCCAATCTGATCCAATATGGCAAACAGCAAACCGTAAGTGAGCTTTACATGGACAAAATTGTCCTACGAGCCAAATGAAAGTATCCACCAAAAATTAGGAACTCCGATATTTTAATTGTGTGTTTTTAGCTCACTTTTTTCATTAAAGTATCATATAAACGAGACGTATTGAAAATTGTTTAGAATACTGAAATAAAGTTGTTGTTGTTGTTGTTATTGTTGTTGCATGCAAGCAAATGAGCATTAATTCTCTTAATTCTTTATGTGAAGCCATATTTTCCTCTTCGGTAGTCTTCCATGGCGCCGTCCTCCTAAGTTCACTGCGATCTTAATGTTCGAATTTTGGAGGGAAGCGACGGCTGCCTCTGTTCCAGGCTTGGTCTGCCAGTCCGGTCGCCGTCGCCCCGAAAACATCTCTATCTTAAGTTCCCTAGTATGGCCGCCGGAAATCAACAAAAACATCTGGAGTTTACTTTTTCTATAAAAACTCTTTCTTTCACTCGAGAACTAGCATAGGTGCGCATAAACATATCTTCTAATACTTGAAATGGTTATACTGCCGAAAATCAAGAGGAGAGACTTTTTTCAACAAGAAAGCATTCCTATTTTGCTGTCACGCACTGTGAAAACTCGGAAGCAAAGAAAGCACCAGATGCGAGAAGTCAACACGATTCAACACACACACACACACGCACACACGCACACACACACATACACACACACACACACACACACACAAAAAAAACAAGAAAAATTTATAAATTTGAACTACTTTTTATTCTTGTTATGATGACTTGTTCTTTGATTCTTGTCCTGTAGAAGTTAATAGGTAGTACCAATCTTATTTTTGTACGATCTCAAAAAATTTTCACCCTCTCTCTAAGGCTATTTTTACACGGGACCAGTTTGCTTCTATCAAAAATCTTGCAAGCCATATGCCAGTGAAGCCACGACCTATGCGATCGATCCGGAATCAGTTCGAACACCCCAATGATTCCTTGCAATGAATAATGCTCTTATTCTCTTACATGAAATGTTTTCTTTCAAATATTAAATGTGAAACCTAGACGAGTACTGTAAGCTCATCTTTAATTCTGTCCGACTCCGTCCGCTGTTTTGAAAATTTTTGATCACTGGGGCAATGTTTTGATTTGTTTGTTGATAAACACAAGCGCGCCTTCTCATTGGTTGAAAAGTGTCGCGTGACCAGTTGGCCCTGTCCTTAAATTTAGAGATATTCCGGACTGGTAACTCCTTCGAGTTGCGTGCGAAAGTTCACGGCGGTTCCCGGTTAACATTTGAAGAAATTGCGCATGATATGATATGAAATGACGTAAGCCATCCAGTAAAGAAAACATAGTGCGGTCATCCTACTGGTTGTTTTTATTCAAACTGCGGTGAGTTAGACACATTTGAAACATTATTTCTAATTCGTTTTGGAAAGAAAACTGTTGGTACCTTTCTGAGGTATCGCCTGCAATTGTTATGATCTCTTATATTTGTACAGATATTGTATCGAAAGCAGATTTTTGAAATATGGTCAGGAAACGAGCAGCGGCCTTTCAAGTTTGAAACAACCAAGAAAGTTGAAAGTTCAGGACTTGTACGGTAAAAAATAACTATTTTTAAACATGGATTGATGGTTGTCGACTCAGGCACGTAGGGACAGCTGTGGTACCACGGTTTGAAACATGCGGAAAGAGGGTCAAAAAACCAAGGTTTCATCCACCGTTAACTGTTATGTTTTTCTGCTTTATCAACGCACGCTTTGTCGGGTTATTTAGTTTTAGTTATCTCCGGAGCGAGTTGGCTTTCCCTTTTCGGCGCTGACTCTCTTTCCAGGTTTGTTCACTGTGCCCCTGATGAGAATGACAGACCTTCTGAGCAGACTAAAAGTTTTAAATTAACATCAGTCTATGTTCCTGTCTATATTAGTGAGCTCACTAGAACTTAATAACAGTGTAACATAGCTATTTATCAATTTAGTTCTCGTACCGTAGCTAAATGAGTATTTACCACTTACTTAATGCCACGCATTCTTATTAAAACATTACTAACATATTTGTGGCTATTTTTCCCGCAGCTACGTATAGTTTACGGTCAATGAACTAATGTTTGTTCATTGAACTACTGGTGTGGTCATTGATCTGTTGTGTACTTATTTGAACTGCTGTGTGGTTATTGAACTTACAAAAAGAAAAACTATAGAGGGCCGTTCATCTTCTTATACTACTTCGTGAGAAATTTCTACAATTTGATTGGCTTAGAGCAGTGGTATTTCAGCTTAATTTGAAATACCTACATGTGAAAATTACAAACCTTTTGCGGGTAGTAGTATAAACAAATAATAGCATAATTTGTACGTGATATTTGGCATAAATACCACTCGTGAGATTTTTTTAAAATTGTCTCAAATTTCACTCGCCTACCGGCTCGGGAAATTACGTATAACAATTTTGAAATATCACTCGTGGTATTTCTGCCAAATACCACTACTAATCATGCTATTACCTATACAAATTCAATTTTAACTCACTTAAAAACACAGGTGGCCCAAGCGTAAGTAATATCAGAGTTTGTATGGGAAAAATAGAAACCTAGATGAAATAAATGAAGTAAAAGCGATAAAATTTATCAATAAAGTGTAAATATTGTTACCTGGAGTCGTTGTCTTTGTTTTTACGAAGTTTCAGCGCGATTTGAGTACTTTTACATCATCTGACCTGACAGTGTAATAGTATTAGATAAATCCCTACGCACCCACCTCCGAGCAAGGTCGGCTTCTTTGTTTTCACTCGGCCAATGAACGAAGCAACAAAACAAAACAAAGAAGCCGACCTTGCTGGGAGGTAGGTGCGTAAAGATTTGTCTTAACAAAGTAATGTCACCCTCTCCCGGTGAGTTATTATTTGACGCTAGGCCCAGTCACCGCCGAGCGACAAAACGGTTGAAATGTTACACTTTTACTAGTCACGATTTTTGAATTGTAGTTGATCTTTTCGATCGAGTTATGCGATCCAGACGCAATGTTTACCGGGACTTTGCAGGAAGGTGATCTTAAGGCATCACTTTGTGGATTCGGTGACGTAAAATATAAGTGTGTTTGTTTTTTCGCGTGAAACTGAGCAGCTCTGAAGGTCGATCGAGCGATTCTATCCTACCTTGTCTCATATTATTACACTGTCAGGTCAGATGATGTAAAAGTACTCAAATCTCGCTGAAACTTCGTAAAAACAAAGACAACGACTCCAGGTAACAATATTTACACTTTATTGATAACTTATCGCTTTTACTTCATTCATTTCATCTAAGTTTCAAACTCTATTTTTCCCATACAAACTCTTATATTACGCTTGGGCCACCTGTGTTAAAACCTCCCTCAAAATGAAGATTGCGTTTTATTAGATTGTGTGATGTTTACATTATGAAAGTGAGGCTGCAAACTTCAAGACGAGGCTGAAAGTAACTTCTACACACGTTTTCGATGTGAACGGTTTTTTGGCAAAACACGTTTAGTTAAACCAGTGTTTATGCAAACTGTGTGTAGTTAAACATGTTTGGTTGGTGTGAATGGGGGATTAGATAATAATGAAACTATTTGTCGGTGCAACCATCTACCCAAAGCATGTTCATCACCGCAAATCTCTTTTAAAATAATGAGAGCCTTCTCATAGTATTCTTTCGCTTCACTGTACTGGCCGAGGATTTCGTAAACAAATCCCAGGTTATTGTAGCCTTCTGCTACGGCGACATGGTGTTCACCGTATATCTCTTTTGTTATGATCAAAGCCTTTTCATGGTTTTCTTTAGCTTCACTGTACTGGCCAAGGTAACTGAAAACAACTCCCAGGTTGCTGTAACTTGCTGCTACGTTACCATGCTTTTCACCGTAGATGTTTTTTGTGATGATCAGAGCCTTCTCATAGTATTCTTTAGCTTCACTGTACTGGCCAAGGTAACTGAAAACAACTCCCAGGTTGCTGTAACTTGCTGCTACGTTACCATGCTTTTCACCGTAAATGTCTTTTGTGATGATCAGAGTCTTCTCATAGTATTCTTTAGCTTCACTGTACTGGCCAAGGTTTCTGTAAACAGTTCCCAGGTTGTCGTAGCTTGCTGCTACGGCACCATGGTGTTCACCGTAAATCTCTTTTGTTATGATCAAAGCCTTCTCATAGTTTTCTTTAGCTTCACTGTACTGGCCAAGGTCACTGTAAACAACTCCCAGGTTGTTGTAACTTGCGGCTACGTGACCATGCCTTTCACCGTAAATCTCTTTTCCAATGATCAGAGCCTTCTCATGGTATTCTTTAGCTTCACTGTACTGGCCCAGGTTAAAGTAAACAGTTCCCAGGTTATTGTAGCTTGCTGCTACGTCACCATGGTGTTCACCGTAAATCTCTTTTCTTATGATCAGAGCCTTCTCATAGTATTCTTTAGCTTTGCTGTAGTCGCCAAGGTGTCTGTAAACAGTTCCCAGGTTGTCGTAGCTTGCTGCTACGTCACCATGGTGTTCACCGCAAATCTCTTTTCCAATGATGAGAGCCTTCTCATAGTATTCTTTAGCTTCACTGTACTGGCCAAGGTTTCTGTAAACAATTCCCAGGTTATTGTAGCTTGCTGCTACGTCACCATGGTGTTCACCGTAAATCTCTTTTCTAATGATCAGAGCCTTCTCATAGTATTCTTTAGCTTCACTGTACTGGCCAAGGCCAATGTAAACGGCTCCCAGGTTGTTGTAGCTTGCTGCTACGTCACCATGGTGTTCACCGCAAATCTCTTTTCCAATGATGAGAGCCTTCTCATAGTATTCTTTAGCTTCACTGTACTGGCCAAGGTTTCTGTAAACAATTCCCAGGTTATTGTAGCTTGCTGCTACGTCACCATGGTGTTCACCGTAAATCTCTTTTCTAATGATCAGAGCCTTCTCATAGTATTCTTTAGCTTCACTGTACTGGCCAAGGCCAATGTAAACGGCTCCCAGGTTGTTGTAGCTTGCTGCTACGTCACCATGGTGTTCACCGCAAATCTCTTTTCCAATGATGAGAGCCTTCTCATAGTATTCTTTAGCTTCACTGTACTGGCCAAGGTTTCTGTAAACAATTCCCAGGTTATTGTAGCTTGCTGCTACGTCACCATGGTGTTCACCGTAAATCTCTTTTCTAATGATCAGAGCCTTCTCATAGTATTCTTTAGCTTCACTGTACTGGCCAAGGCCAATGTAAACGGCTCCCAGGTTGTTGTAGCTTGCTGCTACGTCACCATGGTGTTCACCGCAAATTGCTTTTTTAATGATCAGAGCCTTTTCATAGTATTCTTTAGCTTCACTGTACCGGCCAAGGTTACTGTAAACAATTCCCAGGTTATTGTAGCTTCCTGCTGCGTCGCTATGGTGTTCACCGTAAATCTCTTTTTGAATGATGAGAGCCTTTTCATGGTTTTCTTTAGCTTCACTGTACTGGCCAAGGTCACTGTAAACATTTCCCAGATTATTGTAGCTTGCTGCTATGGCACCATGGTGTTCACCGCAAATCTCTTTTGTAATGACCAGAGCCTTCTCGTAGTGCTCTTTAGCTTTACTGTACTGGCCAAGGTCTCTGTAAACAGTTCCTTGTATGGTGTACGTGTTCGCTCTTAACAATTTGTCTTCTTTGCAATCGTTAAGAAAACGCATAAAATTACAGATTGACGAATTAAAAAGATACGCATCCGACAGATTACTAAGGTTACAGCAAACGTCAGCGGTTAAGGAAAGCCACAAAACTAACTTTCTAGGGGTGATTGCATTCAGAAACATTTTTGATTCAGTAAAATCGGTGTTAACAATTACATGTAATTCTTTACAGTGACTCACGATTAAACGTAACTTAGCAAACACATGCCTACTTGAATGCAACAGATTTCTGTTTTTTGCTATTAAATATTGAAAGATTTCAATAACAATAGAAATGCACTGAATTCTATCTGTTGAATCAATTTTAGATGTTATAATTGACTTGAGCACTTCATGAACGATGTTGTGCATCCTTATAAAGGGATAAGTGCCGTCTTTGTCTTGCAAACAAGAGAGTAAGGAAGCTTTAAAAAGTTTAGTTTTGATCAATTCTTCTGATTCCCCAGTGATACGTAATTTAACGAAGGCAACAGCAACCTCCATCGGAAGAGACTCAGGTGCGCAAAGAGAAAACAAATACAATACTTCTCGAAGAACGTCATCACTTTCTAAAGCTCTCATAATTGCCATTTGAACAGCAGTAGTTGTTGTTTCGGAATACGCTATGTTCTGGTTTGCAAGAAGTTTTTCTGTCGCTTCACGTTCGCCGTGGTAAAGTGCTTCCAAGTAGTCTTTCCAGTGGTAGTTCGGAGAACCACTGACCACAATGGTTTGTACATAAAAGGCAGCAGCTGCTAAAGCAAGTGGCTGATACTCAAGAACTTCAGCGACTTTTTCATCTTCGTTCTGATCCTCAATCTGAGATACCTGTCGTAATAGGTTCACTGCGTCATCGGGATTCATTCCTTTGCTAAGAGACTCATGATAAGTAAGTGGAACATTGGAGGGTATTGAGCTGCTATCTTGAGTAGTTATTAGCACCTGACCGTGGCCCCATTCTTCACTGCCGGTCGGAGGTAGATCTCTACAAACCAGTGATAGGTCAACAACATTATCTGCAATTATCAGCCAGTTGGAGAAATACTTCGTCTTGGGATAAATGACTCGCTTCAGATACTGGATTTTTTCTCTTGGATTCCCCTTTGTAGAAGTCTCGAGATTGGTCAGGGTGTACTCTGTTATTCCCATATGTCTAGCCAGGCTAAAATAGGAGTCTGAAAGTGAATCTAGGGTTTCTGCATTTTGGGTTGCAACAAATGTAAGACTGTCGTTTTCATGCAACCTCCAATCGAAAATGTCCTGTCCCAGCTGTCGAGCTAATTGGCTTTTTCCGCTGCCTGGAATTCCTGATAGATAAATGGTGCTGATAGCTCCATTACTTTCGTTGTAAAGCTCGTCCAGTTTTTTCATGATTCTTGTGACATCACTTGATCGTTTGATGATTTTATGTGACGGCTTGAATGTCAGAGTACAGAAAGACTCGACTTTGGAATTGATTTCCTGAGTGAGAGTATTTACTTCTTCCTGTTTTGTCTGTAATGTTGCTTGGGTCGATTGTAATTCCGAGGTTAGATTTCTTTTTTCTTCTTCTACGGTTTTTAAACCCTCGCCGAGTGTTTTTACTTCGTTCTGCTTTGTCTGTAATGTGGCTTGAGTCAATTGTAATTCAGATGTTAGATTTTTGTTTTCTTGTTTTTGAGTTTTCAGGTCAGTTCTAAGATTATCAGCCTGCATTTTAAGGCTATTTACTTCAGCTGTTGGAAAGTCTGTCTGGTTTTTGATATCATCAACTTCATTTATTGGAAGCTTCAGTGAATTAAAAGCAGCTAACACTCTCGCTACATAATTATGGAATTCAGCATCAGTAAGTTCAACCTCGTTCAAGTGAGCGATATCATTTCGAACCTGTCGGAGATCGTCAACTTCGTTTCTGACTGCTGGACTAAGAGTACTGCCAATGCAATCCGAGTACAAAATAGCAAAAAACAGGCAACTGCAATCCCACTCCGCCGTGTTTCCCCTTTGTATTGTCGCTAAAAGTCGCGCATTCTTTGTGTGACGCCTTCGTGATTCTTTGCTGTCGAAATCGCGGCCGTTTTGGGAAATATCTTTCCATTCCCCAAACGGAGTTGTCTTGTAGAGGAAATCCCACTCTTGTTTGAAGACTTTTCGAAGCCCTTGGGGAACTAAGTTGAAGGCGATGTAACATGCTCTAAAATAGTTTAATTGTTCCAAAGTGTATTCCATGTTTGGGATGTTTAGGATCTAGTAAAAAATGTGTGAAAGAAGAATCATTAGGTATCTAGATTATTTCATAAAGTATTTCAAGTCAGGGATCGTTGATATGTCAAAGTACAGCAATAGAAGAATCAGCATAAACTAATCGAGGATTAGCTTTTCTGTTTTATACGTATCAAAACCTAAAGTATGCAGTCACAAATTGTATGAAATAAATCGCAGCTTATTTCCACGCGAGCGAGCACATTTCCTTATTGCCACGCTTTCTTTCACAATTGTCCTGTTTCCTCGCAAGAGGCACTCGATATAAAGCATATAACGCTGGGCTGACAGTAAAAACGGCCAATCAAAACTCGATACATCATTGTCACTTCTCGTTATTATGGGCCGATGGCGGGTCGATGTAAGGTCGATGGGAGGAAGGGGAAATAAAAATAAAAATGAAGGTAAGAAAGGGCAAATAAAATATAATTTAATGTGGAGTAGGGGAAGTGGGGTGAGGAAAACATTGTATCTGCGCCGAGAGTCATGACTCTATGACGTCATCGGCGTTAATAAATTCCTGCGCAAAAAATGGGATCCATTCGGTGGGCCTTCGGTGCGCCCTAAACTACTGGTTTTATTTTATTAGCCTCGCCGAAGAAACAAAACAAAACCGTAATTTAACTAAAAAAGGGGGTCGGCAGGGACACTGCAACAGCTGAGGCCAATTACAGCAGGCCCATTTTTGTAATTTCCAGTATTAGTATGTGTAATCAACTGGTGACGAGTGAAATTAGGGAATAATTTCACGCGCGTTTTGTCCAAATCCTAATAATTTCCCTAGCCTTTAGGCTTGGGAAATTAATTGAAATTATTCCCTAATTTCACGAGTATACGATTTGATTACCTATTAATATCATGGGTGACGAATTACGTTGGCAATCATAGATTTTTGACATGTTTATACTGGATCGTATCGATCGAGAACTCCACTCTCTCAAATGTTTAGACCTTAAATTTGCAATTGGCTTATAAAGTTCAGACTTTTTCGGCAAAATACCTGTTAGAGTCCTTCTTGATGTTCTCTTGTGTGTTCAGGTTTTCTAAAGCGTCTTTTTGTGCCCTGACATCTTCATTCACGGCATTTTAAAACTTCGTCGCCATCTTGACACTGAGACGTACGGAAAGTTGCCATGGCAATTTTGTAATTTCACATGTGAAATTACAAATTAACGCTGAAATTTCGCGCCAAAATTAAGAAGTAATTCGTCACCTATGATATTATGCGAATAATGATCATTTTGGCAGGACATTGTTTGTTGCCCTGCACCACAACGTACAAGCTTAGGTAAAGCTTTACTCTTAACCCCTTCCCCCTCCACCTCATCTGCCTTCCCTGCACCCCCCCCCCCCCCCCCCCCCCCCCCCCCCCCC